AACCAATATATGTACCAGAAAAAGTTACTGAAAGTTTCTACCTGTAAAACTTCGTGGTTTTTAAGAAATCGGGATTCAAAATAGACTATTTGGATTGATTTTAAGGGTTTTCTTTGACTTTGAGGTGTTCTTTCTCAAAAACTAGGGAGTTTGAAAGGTTGAGACTTTCAGAATCGTTTTCTGGTGCATCAAGGAGTGTTCTGGCCAATTTTTCAGTAAAATCCCAATCCCAAAGTGAAATGACCTCCCTTATATCCATCGAGGAGTTTCTCAAATGTCTTGGCTCTGAAATGAAAGGCGCACTTTTACTCGCGGCTCAGATATCAGAACAAGAAGATCAGTTTCCGCAGCGGCTAATTGTCCATTCGAGCAACATTTTTGATTATTTTGTACTTCCTCATGAAGAAACTTCCTTGGGAAGTTCATGCCTTTTTAGAGAATTTTTCTGCTTTTTTCAGTTGTTTTTTGAGAGAAATGAGAAGAGTTGAGTTTATAAACAAAGTCTACTCTGCGCTCTCATAAACGAGCTTTTCCATTGATTTTTTGGATATTTAAAGCTTTTTTTTGCCAATTTAAGTTAAATTTATCAAGGCATTTTCGGAAGTTTTGGACGATTTTTTTTTTTCAAATTCCTGGCTTATTTTTCATCAAATCATTGAGCCGTTTAAAAATTTGAAAGATTTGAAACATATTTCAAGAAAAAAAATCCTTAAATTACTCTAAAAAATAACAAAAATGATGCAATTTTACAAGAAAAAAAAAATTAAAAGAGCTATTTAGGACAAGATTATGCGCTCCATTGATAATCTTTGCTAATGAGCTTTGAAAATTGTCTTTTTGGAGAGTTTAAAGTTCTATTTTGTCTCATTTTGTGAAATTAGCCATGGAGCGCACTCAACTCAAATGGCTCATTTTTGCGGCTTTTTTTAAAAAATATCCTGTAACCTATTGTCGGATTTTTATTTTTTTTATCTTTTTCGAAAAAAATACACGTGTTAATCAATTTTTCAACAGGAGGGAATAGCTTTCTAAAAAAACTTTCAAGTAGAAAAAAACCAAAAAAACGAAGTTGATTTTTTTATTGCTGGGAGAGACGGAAAATAAATGGATTTTTTTATTAAAAAAATGATCCTTTGACCTCTTTTTCGAGGATTCTCTTCACAATCATAGAAGGAAGGAGTGCAAGAACGTTCAGAAATTTATCAATTCTGAATGAGAAATGAACTTGCACCCTCGCTTTCTCAGCATTTCCTCGGCCAAAGTCAGTTTTTCGCCCCTAGGGCACATATGCTAATTATGGGAAGGATTTTCTGATCTTTTTTTGGCTGTTTTCGATTGCTTACAGTTGATTTTGAGAGTTATGAAAAAATCAATGTTTTATAGTCTTTTTGGCGACGTGAATGGACTTCTCTGCGCCCTCCTCGTCTCTCGGCGGCTCTCTCATGTTGACATGCTATTTTTATGTTTCTCTGACCTTGTCGGCGAAAGAACAGAGAGACGCAGACACGCGAAAACTGTCAAGTCGCTGTGAATGGACTATAATAAAATTCACTTTTTGAAAGTTTTGTAAGTTTTCATGTCGATAAGATGATCGGATTTTTCTTTGTTAGTGAACTTTGAAAGATACTTGAGAACACGGAGAAAGATCAGAAAATATGTATTCAAGGTTTCAAAGGCTAGAAAATAAGAATTTTCTTATCTTTCTCCGTGGTATCAAGTATCTTTCAAAGTCCACGAAAAAGGAAAAACCCGATCATCTTATCGATCGAGTTGAGTGATTTTTCCTATCCAGAGAAATTTTTCCAACATATTTTCCTCTATAGACTAATTTATTTCTTCTAACAAGGTACGTTTTTTTAAGTTTCAAAGTATACCAAAATACGCATATTATGACGAAAATGACTCTATTTCAAGGTTTTAAAGCGTCTTAATTCGAAAACTAGGTCTTTTTCCAGGAGTTTCTCACTTTTTTTGGAATCCGGAGGTCTTAAGTCATTTTCCTTATGAACAAAATCTCATTATCCTTATCAGAATGAAACATTATCCTCACCAGAATAAACCAGAACCTCCAACAGTTCCGAACAAGAGACGGATTTGCACCCTCCCGGAACAATTTCCCGGCTTTTCCCCCCGCGACATTCGTTGCCTAGGGCATATAAATCGTCGAATGAATTGTAAACGACCCGTTCATAAAATATGAGAAAACACTCAATGTTTTCTCGGCCATCATACACAAGAAAATTCCTCTCAAGTTATTAATGAACTTCTTTTCGGATAACTAGGGAATAACATCGTCTCAGATTGTGGCCTGATCTGAAACTTAGAGGATCATTGCAGCTTTTTAAAGGAGCATAGGGTTAGTTAATTAAAGGTCTCAAGACGAAGAGCCGTTTTGTGGTATCTTAAACTAATTTTTGATGTGGCTTTGATTATTAACTACCTTTTTCTTTGAAATGTTCAGGATTTTAGTATCCCATGCATCTTTTTGAAGGAGCATAGGGTTCGCTAATAAAAGGTCTCGAGGCGAAAAGCCGTTTTGACTTATATTTTGAGACTTTTATACTTCTCCAAGCACTTTTGACTGTTTTTTGATGTGTTTAATTTTGATTCTCATCAACCGTTTTCCCTGGAAATTTTAGGATTTCAGTATTCTTTGAAGCTTTTTGAAAATTTTAAAGGAGCATAGGATAAGTTGGTAGAAGGTCTCAAGGCGAAGAGCCGTTTTGTGGTATCTTGAACTGATTTTTTATGTGGCTTTGACTTTCACTCACCATTTTTTCTGAAACTTTTAGGATTTTAGTAGGCCTTGCATTTTTTTTTAAAGGAGCATAGGGTTTGTAATAAAAGGTCTCGAGAGGAAGAGCCGTTTTGTGTTTCATTTTGGGTATTTTACACTTCTTCAAGCATTTTGGACATACTCATGATCTTTTTATGCCCAATTATTTCAATTCTCACCTTCCGTTTTCTGTGGAAGTTTAAGGGTTGTAGTACGCCCTGCAGCTTTTTAAAGGAGCATAAGGTTAGTTATTGAAAGGTCTCAAGACGAAGAGCCGTTTTGTGGTATCTTGAGCTGTTTTTTGATATGACTTTGATTTTTTCCTACCATTTACTCTTGATTTTTTAGGATTTCAGTATCCCCTGCAGCTTTTTAAAGGAGCATAGGGTACGTTAATAAATGGTCTCGACGCGAAGAGCCGTTTTGCGTTTTATTTTGGGCTTCTTCGAACCACAAAAGGATCTGGAACTGATTTTTGATGTGACTTTGATTTTTACTAACCGTTTTCTCTGGAAATTAACTTGGAAAGCGATTTTATTGCACTGAGAATGAATTTTTTTTCATTTTTTCCTGATTTTTTACGCCCAATAATATCCTTGAAGTGTTATCATTAATGATTCTTATTTTTTCGACTCATGGATGACCATATTATCATTTTTTCTTTTATATCGAAGCTTTTAAAAAAGAAGAGAAACGTATTCCAAGCCGCTTTTTTCTTCCTCAAGAGGCCCATACACGTATATGTATTTGGATGAAATGTCGTTGCGGATCAAATAAAAATCCAATGAAATGTCAACCGCCACTTCATTTCTTTCCCTTTTTTCCCGTGTCCTCGTGTCTTTTTGAGCATTTGTTCAGAAATTCAATCTCCGAAATGAAGCCCTTTTTAGCTGGGAAATTTTTTGATTTTTGTTGATTTCGGGTGATTTTTCATGCTTTATTTAAATTCTAGAAATTTTTTTTTTTGGTTCATTTTTTTTTCAATACTATCTGCTCTTCGTGTCCAATGAGTTAAATCTGGAAAAATGAAGCCCTGGAAGAAAAATATCTTTGTAAACTTTGATTCAGTTTTTCTCAATTTTTTTCGATTCTTTGAGTTTTTTTTTATACGTTCAAGTTATTCAATAGAATAAAATCTGAAAATTGAAGCCTATTTTTTGGAAAATTGAGAAAAAGTTTGATTTTTTGTTGATTTTCTGTGAGGAAATCGTCTTTACAAGGTTGCAAGTTAGTTCCCTGATTTTCCTGGGGAAGGTCTTATTTTTGGTTGATTCTTCTCAGCATCTTCTGGTTTTAGTGTCCTTTATTCCGAAGAAGTCCTTTTGAGGAGGGGGAAGTTCTGAAAATTTTGGTTTTTCGATGATTTTGGACTATTTTCTTTGAAGATATCATCGTTAGAAAGTTGGATTTGTACCTAAACTAGTGGAATTTCTGAAAAAAATGTCTTTTTCGATCCAAGTTTTTTTCAACAGTTTTCAACATTTCTATTCTTAAAACTAATTTTTGATTTTTTTGCCTTCAGTAAACTTTCTTTTTTTCATCCTGTCACAAAATGTTTTTTTGGTGAATACAGAAAATTTTCTAAAATTAAATGTTTTTTTTTCGAATTTTTTTTCTTCCAGTTTTCAAAAAATTATCTCCTCGTTTTGAATAATTTCATGTTTTCATTCGTTTCTTTCTGAATTTATCTTATTTTTCTTCGAAAAATGAACTTATTTTTTTTTTTTTGAGAGACGTCCATTCTCCACAGTTACTTTTTATTTTGTTTTAAATATAATTTCCATTTTGCCAGTATTTCTGATGTGATTACATGCACGTCTTCGTTGTCCTCCTATGCACGTCGGTCCTTGCCCAAATTGATCTCAAGGTAAACCTTTTTTTCATTTTTTTGAAGCATAAAATCGATTTTTCTATCCCTCTGAAGGAACTCATCGCTGATTTTTCCATATACAGTACCGCTCAAAAGTATATTAAGTTTTGGTTTTTTGGGGATATCTCAGCGAGTACTTATCCGATTTATATATAACTTTCAGAGATTATGTAAAATACACTTTGAAACATATACGGTATACAAAGACATGTCCGCAATCACTGTGACGCGTTTTAGGCATTTTTTTTATTGATTTCAATTTTTTTTGTTTTTTATGCTTTCATTTTTATTTATTTTTATTAAATTTTTTAAAAGTAATATTGTTGCCATATGTTTTTTTTCATGTTTTCAGACATGAGAAGAACCTCTCGAAAAAAGAATTTGACTGATAACGACAAAAGAGCCATCGTTGTGGGTCGTCAAAATGGACTGACCATGATGACGTTGGCAGGAATGTTCGGCGTGACAGAGGCGTGCATTTCTCAGTTCCTAAAGCTTTGGAAAGCTCAAGATGGCTCTACTAAGAGCCAACGCACTGGAAGATCACGTGTCACTGATGGTAATGACGATAGAAACATTTTGAAGACGTCTAGAACCAATCCCAGACTCACCGCCCCTACGATCAGACGGGAAGTTTTCTTGAATTCGCCATCTCCGCCATCCGTCTCGACCGTGAAACGACGTCTGAATGCTGCTGGAATCATGAGAAGACGTCCAGTGAAGAAACCGCTTATTTCTGAAAAGAATCGAGCCGCCAGGGTGAAGTGGGCGAAGGAGCATCTCAACTGGACCCGTCAAGGCTGGAACAAGATTCTGTGGTCCGACGAAAACAAGTTCCTCCTCTTCGGGAGTGACGGAATTCAGTGGGTTCGTAGACCAATTGGGTCCAGATATCATCCGAAATACCAATTACCCACTGTGAAACTTGGTGGAGGACCGTTTCGTCGGACCGCAAAATCTCGTTCCAGTCTTGACGGGTCCAGTTGAGATGCTCCTTCGCCCACTTCACCCTGGCGGCTCGATTCTTTTCAGAAATCAGCGGTTTCTTCACTGGACGTCTTCCCATGATTCCAGCAGCATTCAGACGTCGTTTCACGGTCGAGACGGATGGCGGAGTTGGCGAATTCAAGAAAACTTCCCGTCTGATCGCAAGGGCGGTGAGTCTTAGATTGGTTGTAGACGTCTTCAAAATGTTTCTATCGTCATTACGATCAGTGACACGTGGTCTTCCAGTGCGTTAGCTCTTAGTAGAGCCATCTTGAGCTTTCCGACGCTTTAGGAACTGAGAAATGCACGCCTCTGTCACGCCGAACATTCCTGCCAACGTCATCATGGTCAGTCCATTTTGACGACCCACAACGATGGCTCTTTTGTCGTTATCAGTCAAATCTTTTTCCAGAGGTTCTTCCCATGTTTGGAAACATGAAAAAAATATATGGCAACATTATTACTTTTTAAAAAAATTTAATAAAAAAATAAATAAAAATGAAAGCATAAAAAAACAAAAAATTGAAATCAATAAAAATGCCTAAAAACGCGTCACAGGGATTGCGGACATGTATTTGTATACCGTATATGTTTCAAAGTATATTTTACATAATCCCTGAAAGTTATATATAAAACGGATGAGTACTCGCTGAGATATCCTCAAAAAACCAAAACCTAATATACTTTTGAGCGGTACTGTACTTCAAAAAAAAAATTGGTTTTCCGAAAGTTATCGTATCATATTGTTGCCAGACCAGAGTATGTTAAATTTTCGTTGAAAAAGAAAATGAGATCTTTAAACTAGGATCACTGTTTCGAAAACTAAATTTATTGAGTGATCGTTTCGAATTGAATTCTCCGTCAGATAAATAAATTTGAACAATGAAATCTCCTCTGTTTCAGAAACAAAATTAATTTTTGAAGAGACTTCAGAGTGTGGTGTTTGAATAGGAAAGGCACTTATTAATGAAAAAAAGAAAATAATAATGATTCGTTCGAAAAAAAGTAATGTTTCAGGCCAACCTGGTCGCGGAACATTCCCGGAAAACGTTCAGACCGCGAGATGTCGAGGTCGAAACCATCGAAAATCTGCTCAGCGATGTTCAGGTAACTGTTTTAACGAAAAAAAAACAACAAAATTACCTTTTGAAAAAAACTTTGACCTACCGTAATCCTTTAAAATGCATCGACCGCAAACACGCTCTGCGTCCGAGGCATTTAATCTTACGACTATTTTCTTTTTTCTTGTCTTTTTTTGCGATTTTCATAGAAATTTTGTGTTATTGTTTCTTTTCAACGAAAGCGTACTTATTTGAAATATTTTGTAAGTTTTAGTAAGCTCAAAGATTTCAGTTTATTGGTGAGACTCATTTGAAAAAAAGGAAAAAAATATTTTTGTACGAAATTTCGTCAGTCTAAAACGAAAAATTGAATTTGCTACTTCTTTTATATTTATCTAACAGAAATTTACAGGAAACTTGTATCAAATTGTCAATTTTCAGGTCGATTCGGGTGAGGTGAACTCGAAACTTCGCGATTATACCTCGATCTTTGCCGATACGGCACGAGATCAATTAACTCATGAGTAAACGGATTATTGGTTGATTTTTGAACAAAATCGATTTTTCAGAGAAGATGAGAATATTTTCAAAAAGCTATGGTACGACAAATCGTACAAGGTGCACGATTTGTGCGAACCGCACAATTCGGGCCACCAAACGGGCGAACTTATTTGGTTTTCCGTCTTTTTTTGGAGGGTTTAGGAAGGATTTATTTCAGGACCGAATCGGGTGATCGGCTTCTCAAAGTGATAGGCAACGGTGTCGTTAAAGACGGGTACAACATGTTCATGGCGCCCGGCCAAAGTCAAGGTCTTTCTTTGGGAATAGTTAGGGAGAACAGGGTGGCCCGGGCGGACCCGAGGAGTACTTTTCAGAGTTTAAAATGATTTAAAATGTGGAAAAGGGTCATTTTTTGCCCGCTCTGTGGGTCGGAACTTTCAAGAAATTTGATTTTCAGGCCGTCGGACGGATGTTCATGTCGCTGTGTATATTGAGTCGATGTCGTCTTTCAAAGCTCAAACCATGGTTCGAAATTCGGATTTCTCTAGTCACAATGCCTCACTATTTAAATGATTTACCGGTTACCGTGAAATTATAAAAGTTCGCGAATTTTTCGAGATAATGGTAAGGCAGCTGTCAGCGGAAAGATTCATGATTCAGATAAAAAAATTACAAGAAAAAAACGTCGTGAATTTCTTTTTTTCTTTTTTAAATATCGAAAAAATCTTTTTTTTTATATTTAAAGGAGAGCATGTGATAAATTTATCATCTTCCTATCTAAGTTTTAAAAATTCAATCATTCTTTTTCAAATAATATACTCAGTCATTTTTTTAAAATAAAAAAGACAGTATCTAGTAAGTTTCTTCACTTATTTTTAATGGAAAAAAAATCGATAAATTTTGGTTGGATGCCTCATAATGATTTTTTGAATCAATTTTTTTGGAAGTTTCGTTCAAAAAGGACATTTTTAAGGATTTCGAAGTTGACATGTACCTGGCGATGGGTTGGTTCGACCGCCGGCTGGCCCACAATTGCACTCATCCGATTCTGGTCACGAGCAAGGTAAAAATCGAAAACAAGCGCATTTTGCTGTTTCAGAAGGACTGAAATAAGAAAATCGGAGAAATTTGAAACATTTACAATATATTCTTGAGCACTTTGTGAGCTTTTTAAAAATGAGAAGGAATGAACTTTTTCTGCGTCTGACCCGAAACGACTTGCGCTTGAGCATATTCAAAGAATTTCAGTAAAAAGTAGAAAATTTAGAGATTTTTTTCTAGGTTTTTCTTGTAGTTTCGGATCACTATCAAAAAAAGCTAGAAAAATTGTTTTTCAATTTTTTTGGTTTTTCTCATGCGCCCGACCTGAAACGACTTGCGATAGGGGCACAATTGAAAAAGTTGAAAAAAATTATTTTAACTGAAAAAAATAGGTTTTCTTGGTGGATTTTAGGCTCTGGAAAAAAATATTCAAAGATTAAATAAAAAAATTAATAATATTTGGAGAAAAAATAGGAAGAAAAAATTGAATGGTGTTTTTTTCAATATTTAATAATTTTTGAACCAATACTGACGATTGAGCGTTTCTTAGAATATAAAAATGAGTAAGAAAAAAATCTTTCTTTTTTTGGAAAAATAGAAGAAAAAACTTGTAATTTTTTTCATGCGTCCGACCCGAAACGACTTGCGCTTGAGCCTATCTAAAAATATCAAAAAAACAAGCGGAGTTTGCAGTTTCAGAAGTGATTTATATAAAAAAATTAAAAAAATATATGATATTCAACAAAGAAATTATAAAAAAATATAACCAAGATATCAAAAAATCCAAAGAAAATCTGCAATATTTTGACGAAACTGCCATTTTTCTAGCTGATCGCCGACCGTATGTGGTACCCGGACTTGTACTTTGTCAACAGCAAATTCGCGTATTTACAGGAGGTTTTTATCATTTTTTTCTCAATAAAATTTGTGAAAAAATTCGGTTTTTTCAGGTTACAACACCAAACTTGATGGTGATTGTGTATCCAGACGGGCTGATTTTCAAATCGATGAGGTAGATTTTTGGGGCAAAATATTGAATATTCAGTTTCTTTCATGGGACAACGCTTAGGAAAATGATATAAAAATCCGAATTTCTCGAATTTTTTCAGAATCAGGAGTTTTTCAATGGGTTAGGGGTGATTCTATAAACCATAAAAATTTTTTTAAAAAAATTTTAAAAAAATCTAGAATATTTTTTTAAACATATAGTGTAAAAAAATTATTTTTCTTCAGTCGATAGTCGATTTTTAGTCTCAGATTCCGTAATTTTTTACTTTGTTTAAAAAAATTGGTAAATTTTCACGGATCTTGACACGATTAGTTTGATAGTGTCCTGCGAGGGGAGATTTTTGATTTTTTTGAATTTTTCGAAAAAAATAGAATATTTAAGTAGTATTTTTTTGCATATGAAAAACATTTTTGAGCTTCGGAGAGAATTTTTTTGTAAATCAGGCTGTTCTGTAATTATTTTTGTATGAAACTGTATAGTTGAAGCATTTTTTTTTCAAAAAAATGGGGAATTTATTGATCTTTTTTTCGCGTTTAAATTAGAGTTTCTTTCAGCTAGGAAAGTATTTTTGTTCATGAAAAATCGGTTGTTTTTTTCGGATGGAAAAGAAAAATTTGAGTTTTGGAACTTTTTTTGAAATTCGGGAAAACTAACTTTTTCGCGTATAAAAATTGAATGATGAGCTTTCAAAAACTTTTTTTTTCAAAAAAATGAGAAATTCATTATTATTTTCGCGCATGAAAAAAATTGACTATACAGAGTTTTAATCAAGAAAAATTTGCAGATATTAAATTTTTTTCGTCTGGAAAAATGGATATTTTGAGCTCTTGAAAATCTCATTTTCCGAAAAAAACGGAAAAGTTTATTCAATCAAATTTTTTTCAAAAAAATGTTTTATAAGTGAATTATTTCGTCTAATAAAAAAATGAAATTTGAAACTCAAAAAAATGATTTATAAGACGGGAAATTTTGCAGACTGGACGTGACTCTGAGTTGTATGATGGACTTGAAATTATTCCCGCTGGATTATCAAGAATGTCCGTTGACGATTCAAAGTTGTAAGTTTCTATTTTTTTCGAATTTTTCTAACGAATTTCCTTTAAATTCAGTTAAAATCATCATTATCTGAAAAAGGAAAAACCTTAAAAGGTAAATCTGTAAAAAAGGCCTCAAAAAAATAAAAAAAGCAATATAGACTGATGAAACATAAAAAAATGGTGTTAAATGATAAAAAAAGGAGGAAAAAAATAAACAGATAAGCCTATAAAAAATCAATAAAATGCCTTTGTAATTTTTTAGATCGGTTCAATGTTTCAAGGATTTTTTTTTTTTTTTTGAATTTTTGAAACGTTTATTGCTCGATTTGACCAGTATTTTTGAATAAAAAATAAAATCTCACGTATGAGAAAAAAAAAACGAATTATTCGTTTTGAAAGAGAAAACTGAAATTTCAAGTTGAATAATGTCATAAAAAATGAGATTTCGCATTTGTAAGTCCTTTTTTCGAAACACGGGCGGTTTGATGGTATGGAAAGAAATTTTTGAGCTTTAAAATTATATTTTTTTTATCAAAAAAGTAAGGTGAAAGTTTACGAATTAATCTGACAAGATCAGAAGGAAATGTAGGGTAACTTTTGAAAAAGGGAATAATCAATCAATAAAAAAAGCCCTTTTTGACGTTTAGATCAACTCAATATTTCAACGATCCTTTTAATTGTTAGAAAGTTCATTTTACGGTTTCCGTTTGCTCTAAGATTTAAAAAAAAACGGTAAAGTAGATAGAACAAAAAAAAATGATATTTTGATGAATGGTGAGGGAAAAAGTAACAGGAAACCCTGGAATTGATAAATAAAAGGCCCTTTAAAAAATGATTTAATGTTTCAATGTTCGTATTTATTGTGAGCAATGTCAGAGTTGGGCCTTCATTACAAAGTAAATTTAAATCTCACATTTGTCAAGCGCGTAGAAAAAAATTTTTAAAAAGAGAAAAATTGATTGATTCAATGTTTCAATGTCTTTTTGGATCATTCTACACCGTAAAATAAAATAATACAGTTGCCTACGTCGAAAAAAATAGCGGGAAAACCAACAAAAAAAAACGAAATGCTCTGACAAATTTAAGGTTAATTCAACGTTTCAGTGATCGTATTTATTGTTAAAAAGTTGATATTGAATACTTCTGACAAATCGTGACAATTCATAGAAAAGAATGGAAAGAAAAGGAAATATTACAGTCGCCTACATCGAACAAATCGTCAACCTGACCTGGCACAACGATCCGCCCTTCTTCCCCATTGGCTCCAACGAAGAAATCAAGGTTTTTTCTATAAAAATCATTCAAATGCTGATTCCAAAGTGTATTTTAATCAAAAGGTTTTTCAGTGCAATTTTCCAAGAAATAGATGAAAATTCCTTGTATTTTTGCAAAAAAATTCTATTTAAAAAGGAACGAAAGGTGTTTTTAGAGCGTAATTTTCTGCGGTTTAACCTTGATTATCTGTTTATTTTTTTCCAGCTCTTCGTATGATCCGGTCGATTTTTAGACGTTTTAACTCTCTGTGTTTTCAAAAAGTATCAAAAGCAACGGATAAAAAGAAAAAAATAACGTGTAAAAGACCGAAAAAGCGACTTTTCAAACACAAAAATTACCGTAACTCGAAAAATTTCTACAGTAACCCAAGTTGGTATGTACTGTAAAAGTTCATGAAATTCCATTACCAATCGATTGATATCTCACTTGCCTAGTAAAAACTCTTCAAGAGTTAGATAAGCAGGTGCCAACCCGGCTACAGTAAGAGGGAATGGCTCAAAAAGTTGTGTCCGCGTTTCTAATAATGGGATGAATCATGATGAAGTTTTATCGAAATAAAAATATTAAATTTTATTTTGTACCAAATTTTTTTCTCAGCGTGTTAACCGTAACTGAAAAAAATGTTCTTTTTGAGTCCCTTTTTTATTTTTTTCATTCTTGAAACAGCAATGTCTTGTAGTTGAACGACATGACGATCACGAGAACGCGATTCGAAAAATGCGCCGGACCGTATCCGATGTTCAGAGGAACAGGTATCTCATTTACCTTTACCTTTAATTTATAACCCACAGTTTTTTGAGTTTAGTTATTGATATCCTTAGTTTCCTTAATTTTTTGGCCACTTTTGGAATATTTAGTCTCAAAACTACTCCATTTTTGACTGTAAAATCCTAAATTTTGTCCTCAGAAAATCTTAAAGCCTTAATTATAACTCTTATTTTAACCAACTGTAGCCCTAATGCACTAAAATGATAGAAATGACAGAAATTAAATAAATAACGCTTTAGAAACCTTTTCTCACATCCCTAATGTTGAATAATTCAATAAAAAATGCAGTTTTGGTTGGAGAAAATGAGGTTTTGAAACGTTTTTAATGCATTTTTGAAAAGAAAAATGTTCCAAATCTTTAAAAAATGTTTTTTTCCCATGATTTTTTGATTTTTCCCCTCAAAAAACCGTTTCAAAACCCTTTTCCCCGACCAAAAATGCCCTTTCCCTTGTCAAAATGTCAATTTTGAATAATTTTAGGAGGTAGGCAAGTTCCTTCCTTCGATGTGCGCTCTCTGTCCATTGACAAATTGATAAAAAATAATCAGAAAAATGAGAAATTTCAACCCGTGGTAACCGTGTTTTTGACTGATGACTGACACACGCCGAGTGAGACTCACCGCATTTTTTTTTCCCAACCATCTGACTGACCCCTTCTTTTGAGGTCCCTTTGGAGAAGTGTGACAGAATAAATGAGAGAAAAAAAAGCTTCGATAGAAGTAAGGAAATAAACTTTGAAACAATAGGGAATAGGAAAGAACATCTCGTGGAAAAAAGATTCAGTTTCAATAGCCACTGACGAAATGGACTAGCAAAGCGGCCGAGACAAAAAGCCTCGACAGAAGAGCCGAAATAAGCACTCGAGTCCGTGGAAAGTGTGCTCCATGGCTAATCGGAGTTTTTTTTTCGTTTTTTCCAGTTTTTTTGTTTCTTGCTTTGTATAAGAAAAGTAAAAACCGGTATAAACAAAGCTGTGGAAAGTCGAAAAATGGAAAAATCAAGACCGTTGCTAGAGTACGAATCCATAAAAAAGTGAGGAGGTTTTGCAAAGACTTGGGTTTTGAAAAATGTGATAAAATAAGAAATTCTCTTTCGGCTCTTTTGTGAACTGTTTCTTTCTCCGTGACTATTTTATTATTCACACCACACATCTGTTCAGCCCGTCCGGTGTTTGGCACACTGTATGTTTAAATTGTGCATACACCAATCGCGGTTTTTGGGCGATATCTTCGTTAATAACGAGTTTTTTGTACGAAAATATGAACAGATTTGAACAAAAACGCAAGTAGAACATTCAATGATACAGTCTGAGTTTTCACAGTTTAGTTTTTCCAATCGCTAGCAAGCCTTAAAGAATGGCCTAATTTGGGGAATGCGTATTTAGTAAGTCAAAAGAATTTTTTTTCTGTAGTTTTTTTTATCTATTATTGTCGGAAATAGCCTTGTTCATTTTAATAAACAGAAAAAGTTAAAATGGTCTAGTATGGCCAGCGGAGACGGCGCAGTGCAAACCGGACGGGTCCCTGTAGGTCTGAACCGCTGTGACCACAACGGTTTTTTCAACAAGGCTTATTAGTCATATACGCGGAAAAAAGCAAACTCGAGAATAGGGAAATGTTTTTTTTAAAGTTTTCAATGAAAAAAGATGAAATGCAAAGAAAATGAGTTACTAATTCGGCGAAATTTTCCCTTCTCAAAACGATTAATATCTCTAAAACAAGTATTCTCTGTTTCTATCAGGTTTTTTTCACTCACATTTTTTCTGTCACGCCCCCAAGCCTGCTCGATTTGCAGTTCACTACGTAAAATTCATCTTTTTCGGGTTGAAATATGAGAAAAAGAGGTTGGCCTGAATCTTTGGAGCACTTTAAAAAGAGAGTCAAATATTTATTTATTATATAGATGCATATAAAGAAAAACGAAAAAAATACAATTTTCTACCGGAAAAAAATAACTCCCATGCCTTCTTTCTCATATTTTTCACCACTTTTTTTCTCAATTTCATGAGAGTCTATCACCTTTTGTAGCATGCACTCCACTCACTAACCTGCTACAAAAAAAAAATTAAAAATCTTACCGTAACCCACCGTAATTTTCTCTTTTTATTTAAGGGCTTTTGGAAAAAGCGAGAGTGTGTGCGCGTGTCTCGCGGGGTTCATTTCGAAGGAAATTATTGAAAAAGTGATTAAAATTGAAAAATGTGGGCGGAGCCTGAGTCGTGACGCGACTGGCGGAGTTGAGAAACTTCGAGAATTTTTTCGAGAAATTTTTTTTTTTAATTTTTTGTTTCTTGGATCTTCACATAGCTCTAAAAAGAATATAGAAAAAAATAAAACACTCGACTTTTTACCGCGAAAAAAATTGAAAATGTATTAAGATAGTTTCTATTAGAACTTTAATTTCGCCAAAAAAATTCAACTTTTTTTAATTTTTTTCAACTGTTTTTTTCTCTTATTTGAACAATTTTTTTGCACCTCCTAAATTTTTTATTTAGGAAATCGGAGCTGAGAAAAAAATATTCGAGTCAAAAAAATAAGTTTGAAACAAACTTTAAGCTCTGAAATTTTGGAATTCTAGAGAATTTTCGCGATTTTTTTTTTTTTTCGACTTTTTCCGAAAGTTTCCTATTTTGGAATAGAGCTATTTTTCCCAATTTATTTGCGAACGGAATTTTTTTCTCAGATGCCCAAGAATAATTTGAACAAAGTCATTTTTTTACAAACTTATTTGGAAAAATTTTAAATGTTAAAAGATCGATTTGAATGAGCCAGCATGGATTTTGACCATTTTTCAGTTTTTCCCATCCCTCAGATAATTAGTTTTTGTTATTTTCCCTAATCACCTTTCCTAAAATGACGAAATTTCGAAAAAAGATGCATTTTTTGAAAAAACCTCTCGCTGCTCCGGCTCACTTTATTTTTTCATAAAGCGAATAATTTGTTTGGAATGAACCTTGCCACCGCCTTTTGCATTCAAAAGTTGACTAATTTTATTGAAAATGTCGTTTTTTTCAGCCTACTGGAGCTGTATCCGGGCTTACATCGTGATGAAGCGCCTCGTTTTGTTTCACATCATTCAGACTTATATTCCGACGGGTGGGTTTGGACTTTGAGAGTCAAGGAAGAAAAAAAGAAAAAAGTAAAAAAAAAAAGAAAAAAAAATGAATCGGGCAAATTTTACCAGTTTATGGGATTAAAACGGGCACACCCGCTAAGTGCCCGATTCAGCCCGCTTGGTTAATGAGAGGAAGGATAATTCTGCAAGATGTACGGGTTAAAAACGGGCGCACCCGTTTATTGCCCGTTTGTGCCCGACTGGTTAATGAGAGGAAGATGAATTCTGCAAGACGGGCTTATATGGGATTAAAACGGGCACACCCGCTTAGTGCCCGATTCAGCCCGCCTAGTTAATGAGAGGAAGATGAACTCTGCAAGATGTTCTTATACGGGTTTAAAACGGGCAAACCCGCTTAGTGCCCGTTTGTGCCCGCCTAGTTAATGAGAGGAAGAATGATTCTGCAAGATGTACGAGTTAAAAACGGGCGCACCCGTTTATTGCCCGTTTGTGCCCGACTGGTTAATGAGAGGAAGATGAATTCTGCAAGACGGGCTTATATGGGATTAAAACGGGCTCACTCGCTGAGTGCCCGATTCAGCCCTCCCTGAACAGGGCTAGAATAAAAATAAATCGCAACCTGCGCAAAATTCCAATTTAGAAAACAGGTATTCGACTTCAATAAGCAAAATAATGCGAAAATTCGATATCCCCATACATGGCCATATAATCCAGTTTAGGTATGCTCGTGTCAATCTCCTGGATGTCGTTTTGGTTGGACCCGCGGGCTAGCCCAGCGAGGATCTCCCTAACCATCACCTCATTACTCACCCTGACCACCATGAGCAATGGAGCACGACAGGACCTCCCCCAGGTACCGAAAAAGCACCGAAAAGTACTGAAAATGGTGGATTTCGAGGTGTCGTACATCAAAGCGCTGGACATCTGGCTGACGTTCTCGCAGGCGTTGATCTTCCTGGTCCTGCTCGAGTACTCCTTCGTGTCCTACTACATCACGAAAAGGACTTTCGACTGTCCCCATCGGACCGCCTTCAACCATCAGAGGCTCCTCAGCACCAATAGCAAGCCTGCTGTGAGGACTTGTCCTTATTAAAACTATTTTAGTGGTTTTTTAGGTCAATTAGGTGTAGTTTCGCAAGAAAAAAAAGCAATACACTTTGAAAAAGTTAATCAAGAAGAAAAATTGAGAGAAGAAACACAAGAAGCTACAAAAACGGTTATCGGAGCGGATTTTTAGAGTCCTTAAGATCAAGTGGTCCCTATAGGGCCATTTTAACTTTTTCTCCTGATTTGGAAGCTAACAAGATGTACAGGGACCACTAGCAAACCCCCCTAGAGTGGTCATTAACTGGAACCTCTGAAGTGGCCACTTTTTTTTCAGAGAGGCATGGTGGCCCCTTGAGGGAACCTACAAGAATCCCTTGCCACTCTAGTGACCACTCTGCCGCTCCTAAGCCTTTCAAATAAAGATTTATAAGTAAGACACTAATTTTTTTGCCCAAAAAAAGCGGGTCTTAGAGCGAAGAACATTTTATAAGTTGAAAAAATAAACATAAATTATCGTAATTTTTCAAAAAGGCCGTTTTTCACTACACGTGCGATTTTTTTGTATCCCTTTGTAATTTTTTTTCGAAAAATCCTGATTTTTTTGAAAGTCATACATCTTTTTCTGCTTCGATTTAAAAATTGAAAAATAGAAGATATGGACAAGATTTTTGCTGATCCAAACTTAAAAACTTAACTATAAATTACTTCTAAACGAAGTATCTTTCCTACAGTTTCGGTTCGAAAATGTTATAATAATGATAATTGACATGCTATAAAAGGCGGACGGTTTACAAAAATGCGACCGCTTTTTTTGTGCTCCACTGCAAATTAAAAAAATACGGGCGTTTTTTTATCGATTATTAATCGTATCTTTTTTTCACCGTTTCTGGCACATTTTTTTCAAACTTTTTAATTTTTCCCTAGCTTTCTTTATTAAAAAGAACGATTCAAAAAATAAAACACGACGAAATTAATGAACTCATTATGATCCATTTTTCTTTAATTGCTCGGGCAACTTTTCATTGGGAGCTTTTAAAAACGATTTCATACAGTTCTGCAATAAACCGGAAATCAGGTGAAAAAATGGACAAAATAAATCTTAAAAAGATACTGTCAAAAAAATAAAAAAAGAGACATTACTATACGGGTCAGATAGCTATAGAAGAAATTCGAATTTCATTCATTTTGAAAATAATCGAAATTCAAAAAAAAGCCCGTATTTTATCAATTTGCAGTTGAGCACAAAAAAAGTGGTCGCATTTTATAAACGTCCGTACTTTATAGCAGGCCAAATAATCAAAATATGTATTGGAATAGCTTTTTTTCAACTTTTAATAAGTTCAAATCATTTTTTCTTCGAGTTATACTCGAAAATTTAGTTTCATAGGGTGTTTTAAAAAAGATGTCAAGCCGTTAAAAAAATTTTAATGATTTCTGAAAAAAACTGGTTTTTTTCATTAAAATATTGATTTTTTTCCAAGATTTTTTTAACTTTTCACACTTTAATAATTTTGAAAAAAATGGTTTTCCTATTGAAAAAATTTTGATATCCGTCAGAGTTTTTAACTTTTTACCTTTTTTTATTAGGTTTGAAAGAAAAACCTTACAGTTTTTACTCGAAAAATGGAAATTTGAATGATTTCAGCCGGCCGACATCAACCGAAACGAAGAACAAACTGAGGAATACCCATTTGCGGTTAGTTTGAAAAAAATAATCAAGAAAAAAATTTTTCATCAAAACAAAAAAATAAGGAAAAAAACATTAGAAAAGAGTGCTTCTCTTGATTTTTGTGTCTCTAGTTTGATCTCCCTCTCCGAGTGCTTCTAAAACTATCGATTTTTTCCCCTCTTCTGAGTGTTTCTCCGAACATTTCCTAGTCTAACTCTTTCATGTATAGTTTATTAATCAACAAGCTTTCCCGCAACACAAAATTTCCGTTGCTTAACACGTCGACTTCCGTTTTTCGGTTTGGAAATTAAATCACAAACTTTTTCAGATTCGCAAAGTTCGTTCTTACTCCGTAAGTGACCAAGAGAAAAGAACCTCACTTGTAGATCGTATTCGTGTCATTTTCAGTTTCCTCTCCCACTTTAAAAAAAAAGAGTTCGCCGTGTTAAATATGGTATATTGGTACGAATCCTTGCCTGTATTGATAAAGAAAAAAATATGTTTTGGGTGGAAATTTAAAGTCAAAGATGATGAAAACTTTTGAAAAGAGAAATTTTTAATTACCGTGACAGATAGATTTTTCTTTTTTTCGCTGTGAGACCCCAAAAAAGCCTCAGAGCAAAAAGTTAATTTTTGAACAAAAAAAAAGATTTTGGTACCAATCCTTGCCATTCTTATCAAAAATCAAAAGTGAAGAAAAAAATTTTTTTGGGGCTTGCCGCAAGTGCGCTCTACAGCACTCAAACGCTGATTAGCTGGCCACGCCCATTTATCGATTTTTCTTTAAGATAGAAGGCTTTTTTCACCCTTCTTGTAATTTCATTAAGTAAATTTATGAAGGATTTTATGAGTGTTGGACAAGAACCCCGATTCTCACAGCGCCGTCAAAAATGAATGCCGGTCCGCAATGCGCCGTCGCGTGTATGCGACGTGTACGCAGACGCCGCTTTCTGTTGCACTGATTCCGTTTATTTTGAACCCTATTTTTTCGCTTTTTTCTACCGTTTTTCATAAATTGTGTAGTACACATCCATATACACCACTCGGATAATTTCCGGGAAAATATTAATTTTTTTCGATTTAACACACTTGATGAGCAATAATAGAAAAAAGCGTAAAAATGAAGTTTAAAATAATGGCTCAAACGGAATCGACGTGACAGCGTCTGCATACACGCGACGGCGCATTGCGGACTGGCGCTCAGTTTGAAAGGCGCTCTTGGAATCGGCACCTTTGTTTTATACTTGACTGCTTTATTATTAGTACAAAAAAATCATCAAATAACTTAAAACTTTTTTTCTGAAACAGGCATCAGTTTTAAAAATCCCAAAAAGCTTGGTTTTTGAGTTTTTTTCTGATTTCTTCTTTCAAAAAAATTGACGCTTAAAAATCGTTTTATTCATTTTGATGAGTTTTCTTGGTTCAATGCGTTAAATATAATTTTTTTAAATGTTTATTTTTCAAACAGCTTTTCCCCCTCAATAAAACTCACAAATTTCACGCTTACCTCATATTTCTGTTTCAAAATGACACAAGTTTCAGTTTCGAATAAGTTCAAAATGGCCACATAATTTACAAACTGCAAATCTTCGTTTTCCAAACAGCTTTTCCCCCCTCTCAGAAGCTCAACAACTTTCACGCTTACCTAACTTTTCTGTTTCAAACAAACCCACTCCCACACGTCTTCCGTAAGCGACACCATATGCGTTGGCGCCGAATTTGCAGCATCTGACGGAGGCGACGCCGACGCCGTCGCCGCGTCTCAACGGCCAGAAGCCCCGGACGGCGCAGTTCTCCCTGACCCATGGCCTCTCCGCCTGTATGAACAACTCGGCGGTTCGTTCTCTCGGTCCCCCCGGCGAAAAACACGCCTTCTCTTCTCTTTTCTATCATTTCTTTTCTGTTCCCATCACAACAACGCTTTTTGGTTCGATAGAGGCGCAGAGGTCTCTTTGTTGCACTGAAAATAAATATTTCGGCGCGAGAGAAGAGCTATGTCGAAAATGAGCCGCGCTGGACTTGCGTTTTTTCCGGCGCGATATCGCGATTCTACCGCGAAAATTTTGTCTGCGATATCGCGCCGGGGAAGATGCAAGACCGTCTACTATTTTACGAGTTTGTCAATGAAAAGCTAGCGGCATCGCTTCAATATCGCATTTTTGCAGTTGACGAAACTTTTTGCGATAGAATCGCGATATAGCGCGGCTCTTTCGCGACATCGCTTTTCGGAAACTTTTTCAAATTTTCTCATTTAATAAACTCAAAAAAAGTTTTTTTCAGAGTTATTCATTTCTTTGAAAGAAGTTCAAAGAAGTTGTCGGAAATTTTTTTTCTTACTTTCTAATGCTTTTCTATAAGTTTTTTTTTTGAAATTCAACTGGAATAACTGAACCTCTGCGCCTTCGAAAAAAAGGAAAAAAATAATAACGTTCTGCTTGTAACAAAGTCTAAAAGCTTTTTTAAAAAGCTTACTAACAAACTACCATAAATTTTAATTTATAAAACTTATTTCAAAATGAAAAAAATATCTATTCTGTCATACAGGACGAAAAAATTGAATTTTCTCCTAATTTTCTTTTATTTTTTTTCATTTGACAACTAACATTTGGAGTATATAACTAACTCGCAACACTACATAATTTTTATTCATCTATTCAATTTCTCTTCAAATAATCGAAGAGATATGTGTAACTAACTGAAAAAAAGTGTACGTAAAAATCTAACCGCATCGCTTTTTGGGCCAGAAATGGCCATTTTTGGTTGCCATTGCTTTTATTCGAAATTCAGATTATTCACCAGGACTTGGAGCAGTTTTGTGGGGAAAACTTTTTTCTAATAAAACAAGAGTCTGTCCAAAAAAGAAAAATTGAGACAAACAATGGAATATCTTGACTGGATATTGAATGAAAAGTTTGAAAATTAAAAGTTTTTTTTCATTTCCAAAGTCAGTGGACACGAAAACCTCTTTAATAGACCTGTGTATAGTCAATGTTTCCCGACTTGAAAGGCGAGGGAGGCGGGGCAGGGGGCGGGACGCGTAGCGTGTGCGTTCGCGGTTCTTGGCACGTGTTCAATTTAACCGCCATCGACTCTTTGTAAAGCCCGTTTTTCGCTTTTTTCATTCCTTTTTCAATTATTTATTGATTATGTTCATGTGTGCATCAAAAAATAGTAGAAAAAATTAAAAAAGAGTGGTTGCCGAGCTTTTTAAATAGTCGGCGACAATTGAATTGAACGCGTGCCAAGGACCGCGAACGCACACGCTACGCGTCCCGCATCTTGCCCCGCCTCCCTCGCCTTTCAAGTCGGGAAACATTGACTATATGACCCCAGAAAGCTCTCAAGTTCAAAGGTGAATGAGCTGTAATCAAACGAACTCTGTGTCCTCCCCCTCCCAGCCACCGCTTCTTTTCATTTCTCTGAGTTTTGCCTTTTTCCGTTGCTCAGACGCTTTTCGGGGCGACGAGTCTGCTGGAAAGAGCCCGCGTGAGCTCCTGGCTCGAGCACCAGGAGGCTGAGCACTCGGTAAGTGACTGCCGATGTCCCGACTCTCGACGCTACTTTCCACCTTTTCCTCTTTTCTGCATGGTTTTGTTCTTGGCTTTTTTTTTCTTGTATGGCCTGTCTGCGCTCTCTTCTTTCTCGTCTGTAGGAAAGAGCACGTGAAGATGAGAGACGAGAGAGTGCAGAGAAAGAGACTTTTTCAAGTCACGTTGATGGGATATGCTATCACAGAGAGAACAATGAACATTTTTCCGAATTTTGAGAAACTTTGGAGGGGCTCCTTTAGGGGCTTCTATACTGCCTATAGGGAGCCCTGAAAGGCTGTTTGTAGGGGTCCCTATAGGGGTCAAGAGCCAAGGGGTCACTATAGGGATGAAACAGGAACCTCTGAGTTGTCGATGTAGGGAGATTTACAATGCTTTAGGGGTACCTATAGGGGTCAAGCTCCAAGGAGTCTCTATAAAGCTGGGTATATCCCTAAAGGGGCTCGTAACACCCCAAATTCCTATAGAAACCCCTCATTTTTCTCATTTTTTGAGGTAAAATGAACTTTTTTCAGTTTTATGAAGAGTTTTTAAGTTTAATAAAAATGCATAATTCAGTTCAAAAATTTTAAGGTTTTTCATATTTTATTGAATTTTAGATTGAAAATGCATGGTTTGTGCTTGAAATGGCAATATTTAAAGGAAAAAAATAATAATTTTCATATTTTTGATTTTTCCCCTAGTGCATTTTTGTGTGACTTTCCGGTTTGTCCTTGTCTTTTCCGGTCTTGATTTGCATCCCTCGATTAAATTCCTTTCATTTGAAAGCGTAAAAATGCATTTTTGATTTGTACCGAATAAGATATCCGACCTTTGAAAGGTTAATGAAATGGGAATGAAACCGTAGTCATCTTTATTTATTGTATTTTTCGGCTCCTGGATAGTTTTTCAAAAGTAAGAGATATTCCCGAATATTAAGGCTCTGATGTCGGCGACGCCACACGCCGCTGCACACATCTACAGCAAGTTCGATTTCACGAAACCTTGCCAGAAATGTGCGCTCCGAAATGAACATATCGCACGGAAAATTGATCGATGTGAGTGCTTTTTTTGAAGGTTTAGGAATAGGAAAGGGATTTTATCGATTAGAGGGTGGGAAATCGGTTCGAATGGTATCTAAAGTTGATGATGATAGTGAGAAAAGACTTCAAAAAGGAATGAAAAGCCTTTTTTTCGAATTAAGAACTGTACTTAAAGTTAGGCTCATGTCATCATTTTTGACTTCACGTCAAAGTTTGCGCTTCAAAAAAGCAAATTTTATCGATTAGAGGGCGAAAAATGGGCTCGAATGGTACCTAAATTTGGTGATAAACGCTTGAAAAGTGAAAAAAATCCAATTTTTTCAAATAGTTCGATTTTTTGAAGTGAAGAAAGTGATTTTATTCATCAGAGCATTGAAGATCGGTTCAAATGGTACCCAGAATTAATTTCTGAAATCTTTAAACGTGCAGAAGTTCAAAAAGATCCGATAACACAGCTTTTCGCTCTGAGATCTCGAAAGAAAGTTTTTAAGGAAAGTTTCAATTTTGAAAATTATGAAATGGGAGATTGACGTTTCAAAAGATTTATAATAATACTAGGTCGAAAAGTGAATTCTTCGATGAATTCTTTATACGTTTCGAAAATTATATCGGCTCTCTTTTCTAGTAGAATATTAGTCTGTTCAAAAGTTTCCAGCAAAGGAGAAAAAAATACTTTTTAGAAAAAAAGTTTTAAAGCGAAAAAGAGGGTTTTTTTGGTCTTTATTTGTAACTTTTGCTTCTTTAATAAATCCAGAAAGGAGTTTTTACCAGGATTTTGACTGAAATACAGTCAACCAACGATTTTCCAAGCCTAAAGTTGAAAAATTCTGTTATTTTCTCAATAATCTTGAATTTACTGTTTTCCTTGTCTTCTAAATCTTCGAAATTCGTGAAAAAAATTAGTTTTCTAACAACTTCGATTTTTTTATATGAACCGAGCCATTCTCAATGCGACCGAATTGATAGACAGAAACTAACCTTTGAAATGATCAAGGAAAAATGAGCCAAAATCGAAAAATCCACTAACGATGTTAAATCGATTTAGACAATTATCGAGATAATCACTCAAATTTCTCGAAAAAGATTTTCTGTGGGATTTGTGTAGAAACGCTGCAATTTATTTTGAAAAAAAAGCCATTCCGTTGCGCGAAAGTCGTTTCCAGTCGGGCGCAGTTTTATATAAACCGCGAGGCTTTGAGCCATTCTCGATGCGACCGAAAATCAAAGCAACCTGGAAAATTTCAGCGAAAAATGAGCCAAAATCGAAATTCCAGCAGCTTATCTTGATGTGGGCAGTTGTCTTGAGAATTTTTCCGAATTTCCAAATTTTCTTTCTCCAATAAACAATAAATGAAGCTCCGATTATGAAAAGTTTGACTTGCTCAAATTTTCCATTGATTTCAGACAGTCGATGGCTTTTCCCGTCGGTTTTCACGATTTTCTGCCTCGCCTACTGGCTCTACTTCACTTGGAGGTCCTCCCTCGAGCAAACTAAATAAATATAATTTTTTTTCCTTCGAAATGCCTTTTTCCCCCACGATTTTTCCATGTTGTATACAATTTCTCAATGCCTTCTCTCACTATATTACATTATTCGATTGATAAAGATTTTTATTTATTGATTTTCCAGCGATTTTTTCAAACAATTGTGAAAATTGAGCCGCTCATCCGGGTTATTGGTTGATTTGTAGATGATTTTTCGTCTTTTCTCGATCTGAATTGTTTAATTGTTTTTTTTAGGTGGCATTTGGAATGGCTCAAAGCGTTGCGGTTCAATTTTAGCCAATGATAAACTGCGGAAGTCATTTCTGGTCGGGTGCAAATTTCAATCGAACCCCTTTGCGAATGCGACGCGTTTAGGTCCAAAATATTTCATAGCGCGGAACTCGTTTTTGGTCGGGTGCAGCTTCATTTGAAAGGCTTTTCAAATGCGATGTGTTGCGGTTCAATTCGACTTGGAATTTGACTCTAGTGGCCACTTAAGAGGCTCCTCAAGGACTTCTTAAAGAGGGCTCTAAAGTGGCCACTAAAACTATTACTATAGAAGCAACTATTTCGCGTCTTAGTGGTCACTATAGTAGTTTTAGTGACCTAGTAGACTTCTAAAGAGGCCACTAATTTCTAGCCACTTAAGTGGCCTCTAAGTTCACTATAATAGCCGGGAAAAGATAAAAACCTTAGACTGGTCTCTTAAAATTCTCCCACGAGACCACAAGCTCTGATTTTTCCATGACGCGAAGGTCGTTTCAGGTCGGGTGCAGTTTTCAATCGAACCGCTTTGCGAATGCGACGCGTTTGAGACCAAAATATTATGTAACGCGAAACTCGTTTCTGGTCGGATGCAGCTTCATTCGAACCGCAATGCCTTGAGCCATTCCCAATGCGACCAAAGAGATAGATAAAAACTAACCTCGAATTTTTCAACGAAAAATGAGCCAATATCGAAATTTCCACGAAGGATATAACCTCGATGTAGAAAATTATCGAGAGAATGACTAAAATTTTGGAATTTTTCGAATTTTTCTAGAAGAAAATGTTACAAAAATCCCTGGACATTGTGTAGAAATTGAGAGATTCTCCATGCATCCGGGAAAATAAATCGTCGGCTCCGAGAAGGCGATTCAAAGTGTTCGTGGGGATTCCCAGCTGGAAATATTTTTTTTTTAGAACTTCAGAAAATTTTGGAAACTTGCCAGTAGAACGAAAGCCGCCTCGAAACCGAAATTGCAGAAATAAATGGCCAAACAGAGTAGGAAACCGAAGAAATTGTAGTACTCGACGAGTTTGTGGAACTGAAATGGGGGTTTTGGAGTTTGGGAATGATTTCAAGTTAGTTGGAATCGATAAAAATAATTCTAAATTTTGGTAGAAGGATTTGGATAGGATTTTCTAATAGAAATTTGAAAAATATGGACTCTTCATTCAATTTTCTAAAAAAAAGGGTTCTAAATTTACAAATTATTCAAAAAGAACCGTAACTTAGGAACGTCAGAGTGGCCTCTAGAGGGTCGCGGAAAAAAACACTTCCAAAGGGATAAAGTGTAGGTGATCCCTATAGGAGTTTGGAGCTTGATTCTGAAGTCCCTGAAGCTTGAGTGGCCCCTATAGGGATCTTTCGATTTTTTTGGATTTGTAAATTAAAAAGACATATAGCTTCCCTAGAGTGGCCACTTTAGCAAGCTTCAGTGCGTCCTTTAAGGCGATGGACCCTCTAGGGACCACTCTGGCGTTCCTAGTAATGAATTTTTGTTTAGTGGCATCCTTTAGACTCCTAAAGAGGCCACTAAACTTTCCCCACTTGAATTGCCACTGATTTGACTGCTACAGGGGCCACTAAAATTTAAAAACCCTAAAGAGACCACTAAAAATTTTCCCATTAAATTTCCGTTTTTTGGTTATTTCTACGATTATCTGTATTGCCGTGTGAACGAAATTTGGAAATTATCTCTGATGCTCCAAAATTCAGTTATCTTTCTCACTTTCTGACGTTTTGGAAGACTTACCATCCTCCGGTCGTAGTAAAACCGACGAAGCAAGGAAAATAAGGCGTTGATTGAGGCGATAAGCCACGCGTTCGCTGTTAGAAAAGACGAAGATATCGGAACTTCTATCGAGGATATTATGAACTGAAAAGAAGGTTTTTGGTGATAAAGATAATGTTTTACCAGAATTATCAGTGATAATGTGAAAAAGTTCTGGTTGAACAACCTGAAATTTTAAAATTCGATTGAAGAAAAATGTCAGATCCTAGAATTGAAAAATCTTGAGTTACCCCTAGAGGGATTAGGGAAATACCTCCTTAGAAGATAGAATAGTGACCCCTTTAGGGTTAAAATTCAAGCGGTCTCTCTGGAGGCCTTTTTTATGTTCAGACTGAAAATTAATAAGAAGCATGTTATAAAACCTGATGTTTTACCCTCGATCGCATTCAAAAACGTTGATTTATTGAGCTTTTAGAAAGTTTAAGTGGTCCCTTAATGGGCAGCCTTCAAGGACCTCGAAAGTTGCCCCTCTAGGGACTACTCTGGCATCTCTAACTAAAGAACGTTTTTAACCGCCCGGTTGAACTTTTGCTGAAACTTTGCTGAAGTGTACTTTAGGACCCCTTGATTCCAGGAAAAAAAGATAATTTCCCGCAATAGATCTCGTTTTCGAATTAGGACACTTCGAATGCCCGAAATAGCGCTTTTTGGGCTCAATTTGCGTATTTTGCACACACTGAAGCTCCATAACTCGGAAACAAGATCTATTGCGAGATATTTTTACTTTATCTGCAATCAGGGGGTACTGAGGTACACTTCAGCAAAAGTTTCAGCAGAAGTTTAACACGGGGGGAAACGTTCCCTGGTAAGTTTGCCAGAGTATTGTAAAAGCAGGCTTGAAAATAATTCTTAATAGACCTATTTTTCGAATTTTTCAGGCAGTTTCGATTCGAATTTTGATAAAGATTCTAAGGATTCGAAGGGGCATACTATTATTGAAGACAAAAAAGGTATAGAGAAGGGAAAAATCGAATGAGAAAGAGAGAAATATTTCAAATTTCGGAAAGATCTTTGCTTTAACTTTAATAATGAAGAAGTTACTATGACAAGGCCTTTCATTTTCGAAAAAGACCTCAATTTTTTTTGGAAATCTAAAAAAAATGTCCACTAACCATTCAGCCAATCTTTCCAGCGGAAATAAGGAAAAACAAGACAAAAAGTTCATTTTGGCAGAGTTTATAGTTGAGTTGCGCGGCATGTTGAACAAATATCTCTGACCCCGGCCGTTTGTCCAACGTCTTCAGAATCACAAGTGCTCATGCCGACCGTCTTGATAGGGGTTGGGAACTGAGAAAATTCGGAAAGACGCCTCACAAGGGAGGTCATTTTAAGTTATGCTTGGAAATTTCTTGAAAACTTACCAGATTTTTCATGATTGTGTCAAAAAAAGATTCTGGAAGTCTCAACCTTTAAAACTTTTTAGTTTTCGAGAAATGAAGGCTCAAAGCTCAAAAATGAACTTTTTAATGGATTTTAAAGGCTTTTTTTGACTTTGAGGTGACATTTCTGAAAACATAGGAAGTTTTACAAGCTAAATTTATCACAAGGGACGAGTATGAAGTGAAAAATGCAGATTTGATTCAAACTTCTATGGTAGGTGGCCCTAGAAAACCTTATACGAAAATAGAAAGAATTATGAGCCTACAAGGGAGGTTATTTCACTTTGCGGTTGGGAACTTCTTAAGAAATGGCCAGAACACTTCTTAATGTACCAGATGAAGATGCTGAAAGTCTCAACTTGCACAACTGACTAGTTTTTGAGAATTGAGGGCTTAAAGCTGAAAAAAATGGCCTATTTTAACGGGGGGTTGAACAAAAATAAAAATCTGGATCCAAATTTTTTTCTTTAACGTCGTTTTTTTCTCCACTCTGTCTGTAGACCCTCAAATTCATTCTATTTGGATTTTATAATTTTAATTTTTTTGAAAAAGTCAATAGACATTGATCAGACAAGATCCAAAGAAAATCCAAATTTTCAAAAAATATGGCAGATATCGAAAATTTCACGTTTTCGTGAGGTTTCAAGCAGATATTTTGAATAATCACAAAAGATGAAAACTACTGAAATGGCCACTAAAACGGGAAATAGTGGCCACTATAGAGGTGGGTTTAGTGGCCACTATAGAGGCTCGCCAAGGACTACTTGGAGAGGACACTAAAGGGGCCACTAAACCCACCTCTATAGTGGCCACTATTTCCCGTTTTAGTGGCCATTTCAGTAGTTTTCATCCAGTATTCCTTCCAGTAACTCTGATAATTTTAAAACAAACAGATTGGACCAGCTATGTCGATCCATTGACCCCTAAAGTAGCCACTAGAAATTTCAGTGGTCTAATAGTAGCACTTAGATCTCTACAGTGGCCACTAAATTTTAACCCCTTAAGTGGTCACTAATTGGACTACTATTGTGGCCACTAAAACGTCAAAACGTTATAGTGACCACTACAAATGTTTCCAGTACGTTTCAACAGTTCTATAAGAAGGTTCAGTCTCAATCCAGCTCATTCTTTTCCTGTGTCGTCCAACAAAGCCAATCTTCTATTCTTTGATTTTTCTGAACCATTGAATTTTCTTGTACGGTCCAAGTTGAGCGGCTGGATGTCATAAATGTCGAAATTCCGTCGAGACGGCCCTTTTGCGGGCCGGCCCGCGTAATTGCCACTGTAATTGCTGGTTCGATTCCTCTTTCCTTTTCCTTGATTCACCGGGTCGCACCTCAGCTCCGCTATCCATTCCGGAGATCCATTCGAAGCTAGTTTTTGAAGTTTTTGAAGTTTTAAAGGAGCATAGGTCAATTTAGTACAATGGGTCTTGAAGCGAATAGCATTTTATTGTGTATTTTTAGGTCATGGAAGACTTCTGCACCTTTAAACCTTTCTAAAACTGTTACGAATGGGCTATAGTTGATTTATTGCCTGAATAAACAAATATTTCGAGGTTTAAACTGTAGATCAAAG